AAAAAAAAAAAAAACAACATGAATAGTAATGGCTATTACTGACTTTTAAAGCAATTGATAAAGATCATTTTCTCTTATATTTTAAAATCAGAATATATATATATATATATGTCTGTCTGTCTGTGTGTATATGTATATATATGTGCCCAGTAGGCTAAAGTAATTCTAATTATTTATGCATCTACAATAAAATTATGAGGAAATCTATCTTTACTATATTCTGGTAAGACAATTTTTGGGGGGTGGGGAGCCTTTTACCAGTACCAGTGTTTGAACTCCCAACCTCATGCTCTTGCTCAGCTCTCTAGCTCAAGACTGAAGCTCATCCACATCTCCAGTCCAGAATTTTGTTGGAGATGAGTTTTGTAGACCTTTCTGCCTGACTTGATCCTCCCGGTTTCAGCATCCTGAATAGCTAGGATTGCAGGTGTGAGCCACCAGGGTCTGGCAATATACAAATTCTTAAGAGACAGACTTAATAAAATTCCATTCTACAACTGCCCTGTGTAACATTGTATTTGTTCTGTCTTCAGGTAAGTGATTCCTTCTTTGAGGTCGAAGCCCTCATGGAGAAGATGAAGCAGTTACAGGAATGTCGAGATGAAGAAGAGGCAAGTCAAGAGGAGATGGCTTCACGTTTTGAAATAGAAAAGAGAGAGAGCATGTTTGTATTCTCTTCAGGTAAAAGCAACATGAACACAGTGGATATAATTTATATTGCAAACCCTTTTTAATTGAAGTAACTAATTTAATTTCAGTAAGTTTTAAAACATCAATCTAAATATCTCTTTCCTTTTAGGGGGCCTACTGCATTAGGTGTTCCTTCTTTGAGATAATTTTTAAAGCAGGCAACTAAGGAAAGGTTATATGGGAAAATAGCACTAGACATTAGGTTTGGTTTCTGGCACTAAAATCACTGCTAATAAGCTTTGTGAAGTAAGTCACTTAACATGTGACTGTCCCCTTTAATTCTTTTAAAACGAAGACATTGAATTAATAAGGCCTCAAAATTGTTTTGAGCTTTTCTATGATTTGGAAAAGGAGCTGTTTATTAAATTATCAATAACATTAGTCCTTTGTGCTTAACCTTTATATGCACGCCTTAGAATGTAATATGTAAACCATGTAATTTTAAAAGCTTATGAATGTTCTCTAAATATATTTTGACAAGCACAGAAGGAGAATGTGTTACAAACATCAAGTTTTATAACAAAGAAAAGAAAAAATGTACAAAGAGAGGTTGATTGCTAACCTATTGTTCTTAAGGGAAAGTTTTTGTTTCTATTCATGCCTGAAGATGTAGAATTTTCATAAATATAGTATTTACTTAAAAACTGTAATCTTACCAGGCACTGGTAGCTCACGCCTATAATCCTAGCTACTCAGGAGGTTGAGAACTGAGGATCATGGTTCAAAGCTAGCCTGGGCAGGAAAGTCCAGTCCATGAGACTTAACCTCCAAACAACCACCAAGAAACTGGAAGTAGAGCAGTGGGTCAAAATGGTAGAGCCATAGCCTGGAGCAAAAAAGCTCAGGGACAGCACCCAGACACCTGAGTTCAAGTCCCATGGCAAAAAAAAAAAAAAACACCTAATCTCATAAACTCTTCAACATAATAAAAGGAACAAGGCTTACAGATACTACAGGAACTTTTAGATCATAACTGGTTTTAATAGTTATTATCACTTTAAAGATTGGCCAAGTCCAGGTGAATCTGATGGAGGTGCGTTGTATGCACAGCCATTTGGAAAGCCAATTGTCTTGTGTAACAATTAATGCTAATAAAAAATGTGAGGTGAAAAGATCCTATTTCAAAATGTGAAGCCATGTCTTCTTGACTTGCTTCTTTAGCCAAGTGGTTGTCCAGACATTGAACTTTAAGCTTACTTATTAAGCTTTAATAAAACCAATAAATTAGGGTGGGGACACTGAACGAGAGACTATCGAAGGAGGAATGAAAATATTAAAAATTAAACTATGAATGTTTTATTCATTTTGGCAGAACTTGGATTTGAACTCAGGGCGTTATGCTTACTTGGCAAGCATACCTCCCTCAGCTTGCGCCATATCTCCAGCCCTGTTTGCTTTAGATTATTTTTCAGTGTCTCACTTTTTGTCCAAAGCCAATCTCCTATCTATGGCCGGGGCACTACCTTGCCTGGATTTTTGGTTCAGGTAGAATTTTGCTAACCTTTTGCCTGGGCTGGCCTCAGACTACCACCGTCCCAGTTTCTTTCTCTGAGTAGCTAGTATTACTACAGGTATGAGCTAGCACACCCAGTATGAATGTTTATAACAACAAAAAAAAAAATCTGGGGCTGGGAAGGTGGCTCAGTGGTAGAGTGCTTGCCTTGCATGCATGAGGCTCTGGATTCGATTCCTCAGCATCACATAAGCAAAAAGAAAAAAAGTTGGAAGTGGCTCAAGTGGTAGAGTGCTAGCCTTGCACTGAAAAGCTGAGGGACAGCACCCAGGCCCAGAGTTCAGGCTCCATGACCGGACCCACAAAAAATAAATAAAATTTAAAAAAATCTTATTTTACCACTTCCTATTGACTGATACGCTACTACTTGATATTGTTTTAAGCCTCCCTCATTTTCTGGTTTTGATTGATAGCACTTTTTTTCCAAGAACATGTTATCCCATTTTTATATGTTAGGAGTAAAATGAATCTTAATCAGTATCCTGACTTTTAAAACCTTTCAATGGCATTTAAAAAAAAATTATTTCAGATGATGAAGAAGTTACACCAGCAAGAGATGTGTCTCGTCACTTTGAAGATACTAGTTACGGATATAAGGATTTCTCAAGACATGGAATGCATGTTCCAACATTTCGTGTCCAGGTAAAAAGTGCAACTTGTTTATATGCACAATTAGAAAAACTCAGATTTGAGAAAAAGTGACCTAGATTTGAAAATTGCTTCATAAGCAGTATCTAAGAAGCAGGACCAGCTATGGCCTCTAGTTCCCGAAAAGAAAACTTGAAACAGTTGAACTGTAAGATTTTTGTTTCTTTGCTTAAAAAGCTAAGTTACTGTTTAAAGGGAATTTTTTTAGGCATTTGGAAGAATTAAACTTGCTGTGAAACAATAGATTAGAAATCATGAAATATAATAGATTAGAAATCAATGAAATTTTTATGAAGGGAGTTAAAGTTTAAAGGATTTGGATGGTCAAAACAAAGGGCAAGTAGATTATAGCTCAGCAGTAGATGACTTGCTTAAACTTGATATTTAAGACCCTGGGTTTGGTCCTCAGCACTGCCAAAAGGTAGAGGAGGGAATAAGCAAAGGATTGTAGGAAGTAATTTGGCTTCCGTTTAGGAATCAGAGACTGGGTTGTACCTACTTCTATGTTAGTGGGAAATTAATTTAAAATTAGATGTGACTGAAATATCAAAACAGTTCGAACGAGGGTTGGAAGTTTTGACCAGAGAGATGCTTTAGAAAAAATAAACAGGGAACAGCATAATACTAGGAGCTTATTAGGTTTTGTTTGAAGTAGAAGGGAGGTAAAGAGACTTTTTTGTAGGAAAATGAATTAGAAGCTTCATTAATAAGGCTGAAAGGTGGTTACTTTTTTTATTGTTGACATATATTGAGAGAAGATGATGCTATGTCACTCAGGCTGGCCTTAAACTCTAGATCCTCCTGCCTTGTCGTCCCCTTCCCACCACCACTGCCAGTACTGAGAGGAAAAGACTACCTTTATTGGTTCTTAAACTCATTGTTACAAAATATAACCTTTTACATGTTGCAGTGTGGAAATGGAGAGCCCCATATTGGAATACAGATTGCTAGGCGCTCCAGGTGAAAGACAGTGAGTTGCAGCTCCCAGCAATCTCACCACACTGCAGAGCTGGGGATACATAACTATTTGGCCACATTTTAATTATTTGTATGTGTTCTATTTCTATATTTAGGACTATTGCTGGGAAGACCACGGCTATTCTTTGGTAAATCGACTTTATCCAGATGTGGGACAGTTGATTGATGAAAAATTTCACATTGCTTACAATCTTACTTATAATACAATGGCAATGCACAAAGATGTTGATACCTCAATGCTTAGACGGGCTATTTGGAACTATATTCACTGCATGTTTGGAATACGGTTAGTCTGTTTCTTATGTTTAAAAAGATACTTTCCTCTACACCTAAATTACTTGGGTGCCTGGAATGTACCCAAACACAGATAACCATCCTCTCTCCCAGGAACTTACTTTTATGCTTCACAGAACAACTTTATTGCAGCTTCAGTTTTCTCCCTCTGTTCTAGCAAGGAAGAGTGACTGGAAGGGAAAAGAAATGACAGATACCTCCAGGGAATGGGGGGGCGGCAAGTAAGATGGTCCCAGAACATAGATGAGAAGAAGCAGTTTGTCACCAAACATCTGGGTCTAATCTCTGTGATCCTCTACCTCTTGCCCCTATGGCTGTTCTCAAGACCCTTTGAAGAGTCCTAATCCCATTAATACTTCATCTAATGGAAAGCTTATGTTCTTACTGTTAGGTTTCAGCAACATGATGTTTTACAGAAAATACAGTCAGCATACACTCACAAGTGCACACAAACCCCATGCTCTATTGCTTTCTGGTTATTTTAGGTGTAAAACCAGCTTTCACTTATCCCTCAGTTTTATCTATGACTCTGGTCAAAATATACAAGTCCTCTTTCATTTATCTAAACCACTCAGGCCTTTAAGGCATATCTGACCGGTTTTAAACTAATTTCTACTCATGTGTGGCAGACTGTTGGTTTTAGCTTCTTAAGATAGTTGTAGTGCCAGCTTTGCCCAATACTCTTTTCCTCTGAAAACTCAATAGGCAGTGCCTGGGTGATTTATTGGAGATACTTGTGAGACCATGTATAAGCCAGCCTCTGCTCCACCCACCTTCTGCTGTTTTTCTTGTCTGACCTCAGAAACTGCTTTTTACAGTTTTATAACATATAATAGTACCAATAATAAATGTAATTGCTGAATTTCTTAACTTCCTCACTGGTTTTTCAGATTTAGTTCCTCACAGTATGGTTGCCTGATCACTGTAAATATATACTCTTGCTAAATGCCCAGTGTTATGTAAATATTGTCATTTTTCAGGAATTATTTTCTTGAGTGATAGAACATTTTCTCTTCCTCTCCCAAAGTTTACCTTTATGTTCACCTACCACCCAAAGGTGAATGTTATAAAGTTGTCATTTAGGGGATCAGCTGCACACACAGAGGAAATACAGCATATACTACTACTGTATACTTTTGTAAAAAGAGCAGATTATACAGCAGATTAAACAGATTATCCTTCTCAACTACGTCTTTTAACAGATATGATGACTATGACTATGGTGAAATTAACCAGTTATTGGATCGTAGCTTTAAAGTTTATATCAAAACAGTTGTTTGCACTCCTGAAAAAGTTACCAAAAGAATGTATGATAGCTTCTGGAGGCAGTTCAAGCACTCTGAGAAGGTATGTACCTACTGGGGTTGTTTACTCTAGTTCAGCATTGATGCTTACTTTCCTTTACCTAACTTAGTGGCTCTCAAACCAAAGAGCATTCCAGGACAGTTGTCTCAGGTACTCCTTAGTCAGGGAAGGGAGCCTCATTCTGACAGAGTAAAAGAATAAAGGCAGGAAGGTGAGTATAGTTCTGACATAGCTATCACCAAATAGAAGAAAGAAGACTATTTGGCAGGAGCTCTTTTCAGTCATAGTGTAGAAGCATTCTTATAAAAATTAAAGAAAATTTGGCAGGGGGTACTGGTGTTTTGCTAAATCAATATCTAGATTGTTTTTGAAGTATAACACAAAACATCTATCCATAAAGCAATCAGGTAGTTTTGAGAAATTAATATCCTGTTCAGCAAACCCAGACTTCTAAGCTATTTGGTGCCACATACAAAATGTAGTTATTATATATTTGATTCATAGAACCACAAATCGGATATTAAGAAAAAGTTGTCTTTGCATTGACTATGTAGACTTTTGCCATTGTTCACTATATTTACATAGCATTATAAATAATGTAGAGATGGGTTGCAATGTGCATGAGGGTATTCCACAAATACTGTCTTGGAACTCCAAGAACGTCCTAGAACCAGTCATCCATGGGATATTAAGAGCCAACTGTTTGTGGTGTTTATTAAATGATTGGAAAAGCTGTGCTCATGAGTGTTTATAACTCTCCTTTACCTGATGTTGTATTTTATATTCAGGTTCATGTTAATCTGCTTCTTATAGAAGCTAGGATGCAAGCAGAACTCCTTTACGCTCTGAGAGCCATTACTCGCTATATGACCTGATGCCTTTCCTCCATTAAAGATGATTCTGGAATGCTCAGCAAATATAGTCTACAAGGGGAAGGTACCAAGCCCCAGGACCAATGGTAGATAAAAGAATTCAGAATCCATTGTGCCATGATTCCTTTAGTTTCTGCTATTCTACTGTGGAAATGCCACTGCTGGCACAAGCAGTGAGTGCTTGGCAGCTTAAGGTTTAGAGCCATGAAGAAGGGCTGCTGTTCACAGTATTTTGCTTCTTGACAGTACAAGATGCTGAATAATTGTTATAATACAGCAACTAGTAATTCTCCAAATCCTGTTGCTTTTATGTTAAATAAGATAACAAGAATTGGAGCATGCAGAGAATGGGACTTCGATAATGACTAAGATTTACACAAAGAATTTTAGAAGAACTTGGTGCTGCTATCCTGGCTGGTGGAATGAATTAGATGGCTGTTACAGTTAAGCCAGTAGTGACTCAAGTGAACACTGCTATTATCTGAGCCTACGTACAGAATTGGTGTGGTTTCCAATTAAACTTGTGTACATGAGGGTGGGGGGTGCATCTAAAAAACCATAGAATTATTACAGCTAAGACTGTTTTGATGATAACATATCATTTCTTTCATTGTAGTTTTTAAATTCAGTTATTGGATGATACTAAATTACAGAGGCATTGTTAAAGATTTTCTTCAAAAAGCAATCTTAAATGAAATTGTGTGAATTGTAGAAAAACTGGCTGTGTTTTGTTAAGCTGTTTCACAAGATTCTCCAACATTGGAGCAGCTGTCTGTGGGAAATGTCACTGTAGACTGCTGTGCAGTCCCGGGTGCCATCCACCCCTGTGCTCCATCCACCTAATGGTCCCTACTTTAAAGGATGTGCAGCTCCTTAAATAATAAAAGCTGGAAAATATTTTTAGTCAGGTTATCACATTTGATTTACAAAACTGCTAACTTTGAAATACAAACAGGTTTGAAAAAATGTATTAAGTACTTTGTATTCTGGAAGCGTGAATTTGCTTTTGAAGTCTGTCAGTATTACTGGTATTTTTCAATAAAGAATAATTTTCTCCAATTTTCTTCGTTGTCTCAATTCTTAGTCTTAGCTTCATAATTAGTAACAATTCTGGGATTCTATTTACTTTCAGAAAAGCCAAGTAGATTCACATTAACACTGTAATCAGACAAGAGACTGCTATTAAATGACAAAAAGTCCTGAGACCATTTTGGAGATACAAAGAAGAGTTGACCCTTTTTAGGGTCTTATAAGACAATTTATATTTTGAAAGTGACTGTTGTAGTCCCATGTCTGATCCATACCATACTCAATCAGAATATTAAGCTCCATTTTAGGGTGGAAGGGAGAGGATAGGGAAATACAACTTTGAATAGACAAGGTACTTTCAACTCAAGGATATTGTATTAGTCCATTTTCTGTAGGTGTTAGTAGAATACATAAGAATGAGTAATGAGATTTGATTTGTCTCACGGTTCTGGAGAAGATCCAGATTGGTAAAGCACATCTGATTAGGACCACATGCTGCTTCAGCTCATTGTAGTAAAACAGAAGAGGAAGCAGGTGCCTGTGAAAGAAAAGGGGGGCCAAACTCTTGCAGTAGCCAGCTCGTTCTTGTATGAAAAGTAACTCAATCATAGGATGTACCCCTGTAAAACGTCCCCCCACCAAGCTGCACATCTCATCACTGCCAATACATGGAACTTTCAAGGGACACAGTCAAGTCATAGTTAATAGACCCTTGAGAGAAGACCATAACCTTAGAAATACCTTCAGTATATACTTAAATGTATGTGTCTTTTTCTAGTTAGCTAACTGATACATACATGGTTCTACCCACTGAGTTGGCATCATGCGTATGCCTCTGTCTGTCTGCTCTTTCCATAGCAATACAAAGTGAACTCAATAAATAAGACTGCACTGGATATAATTTAGATTTTACTTATTCCATTCATTATTTGCATGTTGATGGAAAATACAAAATTTTTACTACAGGATATTAGCATAAATAAAACAATTATTTAGATTGATCAATCATTGAAGCAAATTTTTTAATGAGTAAAGTATGTTTATATCTAAAATAGTATGAGTGCATGTGTGGCAAGAATGCCAGGGAAAAGAAAGCCTTACACTTCTTGGTGAGATTGTAAATCAGTCTGGCCACCATGGAAACCAATCAGTATGGTATTTCCTCAAAAAGAATATAAACCTGGAGGAATGTAAATCAGCACACAGCAGTATCTGCACAGCATGTATATAGTAATGCTATTCACAATAGCCAAGTGATGGAACCAGTCTATGATGTATATAGACAATGTTCAGCCATAAAGAACAAAATGCCATTTGCAGGACAATGGATGGAAGTGGAGATGATCATGTTAAATAAGCCAAATACAGACTACATCTAGATTTTCTTTTTAAGATGGGAGGAGGGAAGGGAATAGAAGAGGGTAATTGAAGGATAAATATGTTCCAAAGTTCCATTATATAGATACAGTATTTGAAATGTCATAAGCCCATTAAAGATGTACAAAAGAAAGACAAAAAAGGAACAGTGTTTGTGATACAAAGCTGATGTCTCAATGCTTTTCATTTTCCTGTTACTTGTTTTCTATAAACACAGGACTTTAGTGTCACTAAGTCATGTATATATTGTCATGGGGCCTAACTCTGGGTCTGGGTGCTGTCCCTCAGCTCTTCAACTCAAGGCTAGTGCTCTACCACTTGAGCCACAGTGCCACTTCCAGCTTTTTCTGCTTATTTGGTCTGAGGAATCAAACCCAGGGCCTCATGCATGCAAGGCAAGCACTCTACCACTAAGCCACCTTCCCAGCCCCAACTAAGTCATTCTTTAAATGGATAGCTTCCATATAATAACTGGGGAAGGTAGTATATTCTAAAGGACATCTAAAAATTCCTTTTTCTAAAATAACCATAAAAAGATTCCTAGTTGTTTTCAGGGTTCAACTTTTTAAGATCTGAGGGCTTTGCATTAAAATTTAAGGAACTTTATTAGGGCAAACTTAAGTATCTCATACTTAAGTATGGATTAAGTTTCAAACATTTCTATATTCACACAGTTATTGAGGTTAACTATGCAAAGGCTGATATTTCTTAAAGGCCAATTCTTAATCTTTTTTGGGGGGGTCCATCATGGGGTTGAACTCTAGGCCTAGCCACTGTCCCTGAGCTCTTCAGCTCAATGCTGCTCTACCACTTGAGCCACAGCACAACTTCAGTTTTCTGGTGGTTAATTGGATATAAGAGTCTCATGGACATTCCTGCCTGGGCTGGCTTTGAACCATGATCCTCAGATCTCAGCTTCTTCAGTAGCTATGATTACAGGGGTAAGCCACTGGTGCCCAACAGGCCAATTCTTCTAATAATTTAGCTATTGTAGATTTTCTGCTCATGGTTACTCATACCTGTAATCCTAGCTCTTAGGAGGTGAAGAGCAGAAGGATTGAGGTTCAGGGCTAGCCTAGGCAAAAAGTGAACAGGACCTCATCTCCAGTTATCTGGGTGCCATTAAAGATAGAGCCTGTAGAACATGATTAGGTCAAGAAGGCTTTCATAAATGGGATTCAGACCTGTATAAAAGATTTCTGAAGAAGTATGTCCCTCCACCATGTGAAGGCACCTCTCAATAGTGTTATCCCTCACCAAACACCGAAACCTTGATTTTATCTTTACCAGCCTCTCACATTGTAAATAAATGTGTTATATGTAATTACCTAATAGAATATATTTTGTTAAAGTATCTTGAACAAATAGAGACAAGATGAAAGAGTTGTACACTGTCAAAAATTCGGAAAGACAGGGATTGAATGACTTAGTACAATGTTAATGTTATGTACTCAGCCCAGTCTAAAGATCCAGGGCAATCCCTATGAAAATTTCAATGGCTTTATTTTTTTTTTTTGCAGTAGAAAATGGCATCCTAAAATTCAAACCTCCAAAGACCTTTAAAAAGAAAGGAAGAGTCTCACAACTTTCTGATTTCAAAACATTACAAAGCATGTGTAATCAAGCCAAGGCAGATACAATGTGGCATAAATACAAACATAATGAGCATAATGATACACACTTGTAATCCCAGCAGTCAGGAGACTGAAACTGTTCATGAATTGGAGGCCAGTCTAGGCTATTACATAGCAAGACCCTGTCAAACTAACTGGCAAACACATAGACCAATGGAATAGAATGAAGAGCCAAAAAATTAATCCTTATATGGTCAAGGATGCCAAGACTGCTCCGTTAGGAAAGGCAATCTCTTCAACAAATGGAATTGAGGAAAGTAGACATCCATATGCAAAAAAAAAAAAAAATCTTTCCTGAAGTCATATATTAAAATTCATCCAATGCCTTGGCAAATCATATATTTTGTAAGAATACTCATAAGTATATTCTTAGAATATTTTTCAAGTGACCAACAAACAAAAGAGATGAAACAAAAAGTATGAAAAGATGTTGAACATAACTATAAGAAATTCAAATCAATGCCACAATGAGGTGTTAACTTCATACCGTCTAGTTATGATATATGATAAAATGTGTTGAAAAAGACTAGAGAAACTGGAACCACTGTACTTTTTTTTACATAGTGGTATTGCCACCATGGAAAACAGGATGTTGGGAGATTTAGTTGTTTGGGTTTAGGGTTTTACTGTTTTGTTTTGTTTTTGGTCTGTCATGGGCCTAAACTCTGGGCCTGGTCGCTGTCCCTCAGCTCTTTAGCTCAAGGCTAGTGCTCTACCATTTGAGTCACAGCACCACTTCCGGCTTCTTTCTGTTTATTTGGTGCTAAGGAATCAAACTCAGGGCCTCATGCATGCAAGGCAAGTGCTCTACCACTGAGCCACTTTCCTAGCTCCTCCCTGAGCTGCTTTTGTTCAAGGCTTGCACTCTGTCACTTAAGCCACAGCACCACTTCCAACTTTTTTCTGAGAAATTTATTGGAGATAAGAGTATCACAGACTTTCCTGCCGAGGCTGGCTTTGAACCATGAGCCCCAGATCTCAGCATCCTGAGTAGCTAGGATTATAGCTGTGAACCACCGGTACACCTAGCATGCTATGGAGATTTTGTTTTTAAATTAAACATTCTATGATCCAGCATTTTACTTGCTATGAGTTGAATGTTTCTCCTCAAAATTAACATGTTGAAGCACTAATGAAGTCTCTAGGAGGTAATTACATCATTAGGGCAGAGCTCGTATGAGTGGGATTAATACCCTTAAGAGTCTCTCATATTCATTCATTCTCTCCCTCACTCTCCCTGCGCCTTGTGAGCACTCAGCAGGAAGGCACTTCTGCAAATGAGGAAGAGGCCCTTACCAGGAACTGAATTAGCCAGTACCTTGATCTTAGACTTTACAGCCTCCAGAACTATAAGGAATAAACTTCAGTTGCTAATTCACCCAAAGTACCATGTATTTGTCATTACAGCCCAAAGTAACACTTGTGTGTGTGTGTGTGTGTGTGTGTGTAAAAAGGCTATCAAGGAACTATTCAGATACCCATATTCACAGCAGCATTATCCACAATAGCTACCTGGACACAACTCAAATGTCTAACAAGAGATGAATAGACAAACAAAATGTGACAAGAGTAAAGAGGGAGGGAAAGATAGACAAAGGGTGGCAGGGAAGAAGAATGGAGAGAGACAGATAACAACTCTGCCCTTAAAGGGAAGGAAATCCTGTCACAAGCTATAACACAGTTGAACCTTAAAAACATTAGGGTAAGTGAAATATGCCAGTTACAGAAGGACAAATACTATGTGGTTCCACTTGTGAGATCTAAAGTAGTCAAATTCATAGAACCAGAAAGTAGACTGGTGGCTGCCAGGCTGGGAAGAAGTGCAGGAGTTATTGTTTAATGAGTATAGAGTTTCAGTTTACATGAAAAATTTCTAGAGACCTATTGCAGAATATTGTGAGTTAACACTATTGAACGAAATGTACCATTGTACTACTTAAGATGTAATATATATGGAGAGAGAGTACTATATTTTTGTACTATATATATAGTACAAAAGCAAGTAGATGATTTCAAATA